ACATTTTTACCATAATTAGCTATAATTCATTACACCTCTGAACAATATTGTTAAACATATGATATTTTAGTTCCAACGCAACAAATTTCTAAATTATTTTATGTTACTCCATAATTATATTATCATTGTTGATCAAATCTCAAGTAACCAAAATAATATTTGTGGACAGATTTGACAATATCAAAAGTTGGATTATGAATGTTGAGTTTGTAATCATAATTTACAATTTAATTCAATCAGGCAAAAGCTAGTTGAAGCTAGTTTCGAGGTTAAAAGAAGAAGATTTAACCAGGATTTTATTTTGAAAATTTGCAAAAAAAAATCCGGGATTTCAAAGCAAGATTAATATCTGTATAGCTTTTTACTCATTGATGGATATTTGAATAAAAACCGTTAAAAACAAAATACTAACACCAATCGTTCTTCTTTCTTTTACAGAACAACGTCGTCCTGTACACATACTCCTACTATTACCTCTGTGAATTCGTACACCTCTGTGAATTTGTAAGTTTTTTTCCATAATTTTCCATTTATTAATCCCATGTGCACCTGTAATGAGTTACACCTCAATATCTGGAGGTTACAGTTAATCAGATTAGAATGTTTACCACTATGGTCTCTAGTACATCATCATCAATATCATTTAGATGAGTATCAAACTATATTCTTGTTTCGATATAACCAGAAAATAGTATTAAGTCAACAGTCCTAATATATAATCTGCAATATTTTGATTTACTTTTCAATTCAATTTAATTCACAACATCTTATATCATACAAATATTAAACCGAAAGAAACAAATACCAATGATTGCAGCTCTTAGCAAATCATCAGGTCATCTTTCAATTAAATTATTCTTCTTTCTTTTACAGAACAACGTCCTGTACACATACACCTGATTTTATTACCTCTGTGAATTTGAACACCTCTTTGAATTTGTAAATTTTTTTCCATAATTTTCCATTTATTAATTCCATGTACACCAGTAATGAGTAACAACTCAATATCTGGAGGTTACAGATAATCAGATTAGAATGTTGACCACTATGGTCTCTAGTACAACGGTTTATCATCATCAATATCATTTAGATGAGTATCAAACTATATTCTTGTTTCGATGAAACCAGAAAATAGTATTAAGTCAACAGTCTTAATATATTATCTGCAATATTTTGATTTACTTTTCAATTAAATTTAATTCAAAACATCTTACATCATATATATATTAAACCGGAAGAAACAAATACCAATGAATGCTGCTCTTAGCAATCATCAAGTTCTTTCGATTAAATTATTCTTCTTTCTTTTACAGAACAACGTCCTGTACACATACACCTGATTTTATTACCTGTGTGAATTTGTACACCTCTTTGAATTTGTAAGTTTTTTTTCCATAATTTTCCATTTATTAATTCCATGTACACCAGTAATGAGTAACAACTCAATATCTGGAGGTTACAGTTAATCAGATTAGAATGTTGACCACTATGGTCTCTAGTACAAAGGTTTATCAGCATCATTATCATTTAGATGAGTAAAAATCTATATTCTTGTTCATGATAAAACCAGAAAATAGTATTAAGTCAACAGTCTTAATATACTATCTGCAATATTTTGATTTACTTTTCAATTAAATTTAGTTCAAAACATCTTACATCATATATATATTAAACCGGAAGAAACAAATACCAATGAATGCAGCTCTTAGCAATCATCAAGTTCTTTCGAATTAATTTATTCATCTTTCTTTTACAGAATAACGTCGTCCTGTGCACATACACCGGATTTTATTACCTCTGTGAATTTGTACACCTCTTTGAATTTGTAAGTTTTTTTCCATAATTTTCCATTTATTAATTCCATGTACTCCTGTAATGAGTTACACCTCAATATCTGGAGGTTACAGTTAACCAGATTAGAATGTTGACCACTATGGTCTCTAGTACAACAGTTTATCATCATCATTATCATTTAGATGAGTAAAAATCTATATTCTTGTTTCAATGAAACCTGAAAATAGTATTAAGTCAACAGTCTTAATATATTATCTGCAATATTTTGATTTACTTTTCAATTAAATTTAATTCAAAACATCTTACATATAATCTTAACCGAAAGAAACAAATACAAACAATACAAATATTGCAGCTCTTGGCAAATTATCATGTTCTTTCGATTAAATTGTAAAGAATAGTTCATCAAGTGTGGGAAAACTAAAGCAATAGCCTTTTGTATGTTTTAATACAATCAATTTTGTTTATTATTAGTTCACCAAGTAAATGCTCATGATTCTGAAACTATTTACTTTATTAAATTAAGACTGGTACATTGAAACTAGGTTGATGTTGTATAAAGGTTCGATTTTAATAACATCTTTCTTTGTTGTAGTCCTGTTGTGTTTTGTGATTCTACAAAATATTAACACTAATCTTTCTTCTTTCTTTTACAGAACAACGTCATCCTGCACACCTGACTTTATTGCTCCTCAGAATATGTAAGTTTTTTTCCATAATTTTCCATTCATTAATTCCATGTACATCTGTAATTAGTTACACCTCAATATCTGGAGGGTAACATATGATATCTCCAATTTGATCATAACCTATTACATAATTATTATATGTAGTTCTGTTGTGTTTTGTGATTCTACTGTTTGAAAGTTAGCGATATATCATGTGCATTACATTTCATGTTATTTAAATGATTATATGAAACAATAATATATAATTTAATTGTTGAAGTGAATTATATTTGATATAAATATGTCAAATCTTATTAGTTTATAAATGGGAAATTAAGGCCTTAAGAAATTACACAAGTTAATATAAACAAATATAAAGGTAGTATATACAGAAACAAATTTTGTTATATAACCTAAATTTGTGTACAATATTTTAATGCAATAAGTTGTTGCTGATATTCATACTTTAAGGTTATAATTTGTGTTAAAACAAAGTGGATTGAAATGAGCATAGATATTTGGCTAATACAGATTGCATAATTATCAAATATATTGAGTTATAAGTTGGATGGCCAAATACAGTGCATGGAAATTGATTGTTTTTTTTAGTCAATTGGTTCGAGTAGCATTAATTATATAAGGCTTAATCTAGATTTAGAGAATGCATACACATACCTATTATTTATAGTGAGCAGCAGCGGTGAGTCTGTATAGAACAGGTGTTCATCAAATGTTGATTATAGCTAAATATATGGTTTGCAATGTAGTCCGTAGTTGATAGTGAGGAGTGGCTTCATACGTTGTCTCCATGGATCCACAGTACTTCAGGCAAAGGCATCAGTGGGAAGCAGTTTTGTAGAATGTTGGGGTGTTTGTTTATGGTGTATGATAGATGCCTTCAATTTTTTTCTAGATACTAATTGATGAATTCGATCGTTTAGATCCCAAACGAGGCAGCGTTTATTAGCAACTAAACACTGAACAGAACCATTTAAATGTTAAATATCACATTTCCTTTTTAGTATCACAGTATTTTGTAGAATATATGTGTATAGATCTATATACGTATGTATGCATATGCATATATATATATATATTTATAAAACTCGCACGAACAATTAGAACATGGCTCCGCGATGCGACTTCCCAACAAGAATCAGGGGGGAAAATGATCGTTCCTCGGTGGTGGCGGCAGCGGTGGCGGCGACGACGACGACGACAACGTTTCGATCGTGCAACACTAGTGCTGTGTTAAGTATGTCTGTGCTCTATATATTTTTTTGGTTCTGCTGCCTTCGAAGAACTACCAGAATCGATGGGTGTTTGTGGAATCCACACAAAATGTCATATTTAGTTCGTACAAACTACAGTTGGCAGATCAAGATCGAACGCCATTACAGAGGACCGCCGGGTCAACGTCATTTTCATGCGTTTCTTGTAAATATTCACTGAACCTGGCCGAATCGGAGCTCATGCAGACAAACTGAGGTACGGACGCGACTATCCAAACGATCAACGGATTATATTACGAGCTATTCCTACCGATACTCCATTTTTTTTTCTCAGCAACTTACGAGAAAACTACTCAGACTCACTCTAACACGATCAACTTTGGGGGGTCATTTCAACATTACGCATGCGCCCTCTCCATTTCCGATACTCCTCATTTGCGTACGAAAATAACCATAGATATTTTGAAATCGGTCTTTCTGAATGGACACATTGAGCAATCAGCAGGTGAATTAGCAAACTATCGAAGCCGATCATCCACTAACGAACCACACACGTTTACCCCATCAACAAAATCAATTGCTGCTCAGCACTCAGAATTACTAGAAAGGCGTGGTGAATCATATGGTCAGTTGCCCTAGCAACCATAATTTGTTTACTTTACAAAATTTACCGCCAAATCTGTCTATTACCAATACAACTTAATACCTCAACATCCGGTATTGTCCACGTATAAGTTTATTGCAAAACGGAGATGAAATTTTCAAAATGACCTTCCCTGGTATCCTAAAGATGTACGACGTATGCAATCTTGTATTCTCATTACTTTTCAGAATTAATTAATTATTTGACAAAACCTAATTACAAATCTTGTTTCAGTAAACTTTTGAAAAATGTATTCAGCACTCTCCAACGCGGACCGGGCAAACGTAAGTAGCTAACATGTATACGTAATATTTATAATATAATTAATATATAGTCCCTACAAAATCTAAATTTTAATTAAAACTTTTTTTTGAGAAAATATCTAAATTTCGATTTAAAAAGTTAAGTGGAAGTTATGTATGAAACAACACATCTGATACAACTGCGTTCTTTTGAGAAAATTTGCAACAACGCTTTGGCATAACTGGGGCTGGATTTCAGCGATACAACATCTAATCGTCTCCTCCAAGGCTTGGATGGTCATGGACTTAAACTTTGTACTTAAAAAAAAATCCAAAGGAAGAAGTTCAAAGGCGTTAAATCGCATGGTCGAGCAGGGATTGTCTCGTGCAATAATGCCATTGTTTCCAGTTAGAAAGATATGCCTTCGAGATCCATACCATCCAATTAAGAGACAATTTTTTTAAAAATATAATTTCATTATTTGCAGCTTGCCCGATGGATGATTCAAACATTTATAAAATCAAAAATGATTTTGATAGAGGATGCTGAAATATTGGAATCGTTCCGATTTCCTATTGTTGGAAACGCTTCTCCAATAGGAAATACCATGCTTGCTGGGGGGGTAGCCAGTGTGTTAGGAATATTTTGTGCGGCACGGTACAATTCGTATATTGGATTAGGGGCTTCAGTAATGCCCATCTTTGGGAATTATGCCTATCGAGGGTATTCGATGTATCGTATGAACAATATCAAGAATTGTACATGCAAATTAATTAATACTCTGCAGAAAACCTTTTTACTCAATCTTAACGTGCAAAATTATTCACATCATAGACAAAATAAATTGAAAATGTAAATATAATCTTAATATCCCAATGAAAATATTTTAAGATTAATTTTTAGGATGAAGTCTGCCGACGTAAAGGAGATCGTAGAGAATTGTGATGTTAAATTCTATAAGATTTATAAACAAAATTTGCTCCTTATAGTTACAAATATGCAAGAAGCATTGCAAGAAATAACCAAAGATATTCCATCGCTTGCCTTCTACTATCGTACTGTAAGCGATTATAATATCGAAATGATAGAATTTAGCATCACAGCTGAAGAGTTTCTCGAAGAAATAAAAGTAAGAGAATAAATAAATAAATAATATCTGATTAATACTAATATCTTTCAGACTCTTCATGATCTATATTGCTTAGTTTCGTCGGCATTTTTGACATGCGCTGGTATTGCTATAAAAATTTTCTGTGTTGATGTTACTATCTACAAATATGTGGAGGAAATTGTTCCAAAAATCCGAAAAACTCTTGAGTTGATACATGAAAAGTCGGAACAAGAATATTACCAATTTAGGGCAGTATCGACTATTAATGTTTACTACGAAGCGGTTAATGATACTAACAAATGGGCAGAGCCACTGAAATCGCTTGGCATGCATTGCAAATTGGTTTCAGATATTTCATCAGCATTGCTGATGTGCAATGATGTATGAATAGTTTTGATTTTTTTAAACATTAGTTAATGATTTTTATTGTAGGAAGAAACTGTGTCTGATTCAGTTAATGTGTTGCGAAATGAATTAACATCTGCAACTGAAAGCTTGAATGATTTGGTAGGTGTGGTAGGGAGGAAAAGACAGGTTCAAACACGTCCGGCAAGTACAGATACAGAATCTTCTTTCATGACGGCAGTAGCGCAATCAGACGAGACAGAAGAAGAGACTGAGCCAAATACTTTTGAAGCGACGGGGGAATTTGAAAGTTTTTATACTATTGAGGAGGAACCTACTTCAAGTATAGAAGAAGATACTAATATCAAAAGAACTCGTATTGCAGTAGTGAGAGAGCTCAAAGAAAAATTACAAATGATAAATGCTGCAAGAGGGGTAATTATTAATTAATATCTTTTAACATATATGTGATTCATTTATGTTTTTTTAGATTACGAGTGAGCAACCACCGCCACCGCCTTTGCCATCAGATATTTTAACTTTAAATATACCTTCAGATATCAGAATTGCTAACTCCAACAATGTAAGTTGACTTTATGTACTTATCAAATTGTACATTTATTTTGTTTTGTTTCTATTTTAGTCTATATCATTGTCGGAGGCGGTTTCGGCCATAGCTAGGCATATGAACCGAACCGAGGATACGTTCGGAGATGAAAACTGATTTTTTTTTTCACAATTTGTAAATTATCATATTAAATTAGAAGGTAACTAAATAATGGTGAAATCTAAATTCATTTTTTAATATTTATATCCGTTTTAGCGAGGGCTGCAGATGAGAAAACACCTGGAAAAATATGAACGTGAGAAAGTACGCTTTCAATTCACTCCAGTTGCTATCTCTACCGAAGTTATATAGACCACCCGCTGGAATATATGGATCTGCACGAACTTAATTTAAATTGTAGTAAATTTCAATTATTCCAAGGTGCCAATTGTAAACCTTAAATTCACTACTTTTTAACTTATACTTGTTATTAATCTAACGTTATATATTTTTTTAAGTTATATATATGTGTCTATGGTCGCCTGTATTATTTATTTATTTATCATTTATAAGTATTACGTAGCTACTTACGTTTACATTTTTTTAAGTTATGTGTGTGTTTATGGTCGCCTGTACATTTTTGCGATACAGCTCAAAGAAAAATTACAAATGATACATTCTGCAAGAGGGGTAATTATTAATTAATATCTTTTAACATATATGTGATTCATTTATCTTCTTTTAGATTACGAGTGAGGAACCACCGGTGTCGCATTTGCCGTCAGATATTTTGACTTTAAGTATACAATCAGATATCAAAGTTACAAACAAAATTTATCGCTTAGTCACAAATTTGCAAGATGGATTGCAGGAAATAACGAAGGGCATTCCCTCGCTTGCTTTTTACTGTAGGACTGTTAGCGATTTCAATATCGAAATTACCGAATTCAGTATCACCGTTGAAGAGTTTCTGGAAGAAATACAAGTAAGAGAATAAATAAATAAATAATATCTGATTAATACTATTATCTTTCAGACACTGCATGATCTTTATTGTTTAGTATCATCAGCATTTCTTACATGCGCTGGAATTGCGATCAAAATTTTCTGCGCAGATGCTAATATCTACAAGTATGTAGAGCAAATGATACCGAAAATTCGGAAAAATATTGAGTTTATATTCGAAAAATATGAACAAGTTTCACCAATTTAGGGCCATATCAACAATTAACGTTTACGAAGAAATGTTTAATGATACTAACAAATGGGTAGGGCCACTGAAATCGCTTGCCAAGAAGATAATACTATTAAAAGAAATCGTATTGCAGTAGTGAGAGAGCTCAAAGAAAAATTACAAATGATAAATTCTGCAAGAGGGGTAATTATTAATTAATATTTTTCAACATATATGTGATTCATTTATCTTCTTTTAGATTACGAGTGAGGAACCAGCGGTGTCGCCTTTGCCGTCATATATTTTGACTTTAAGTATACAATCAGATATCAGAGTTACAAATAAAATTTATCGCTTATAGTGACAAATTTGCAAGAAGGATTGTAGGAAATAACGAAGGACATTCCCTCGCTTGCTTTTTACTATATGACTGTTAGCGATTTCAATATCGAAATTACTGAATTCAGTATCACCGTTGAAGAGTTTCTGGAAGAAATACAAGTAAGAGAATAAATAAATAAATAATATCTGATTAATACTATTATCTTTCAGACACTGCATGATCTTTATTGTTTAGTATCATCAGCATTTCTTACATGCGCTGGAATTGCGATCAAAATTTTCTGCGCAGATGCTAATATCTACAAGTATGTAGAGCAAATGATACCGAAAATTCGGAAAAATATTGAGTTTATATTCGAAAAATATGAACAAGAGTTCCAATTTAGGGCCATATCAACAATTAATATTTATGAAGAAACGTTTGCTGAAATGCAATGAAGTATGAATAGTTTTGATTTTTTTTAAACATTAGTTAATGCATTTTATTGTAGAAAGAAAGTGTGGCCGGCTCAATTAATGTGTTGCGAAATGAATTAACATCTGCAACTGAAAGCTTAAATGAATTAGAAGGTCTGGTAGGGAGGAAAAGAAAACTTGCAACCCGTCCGGCAAGCTCAGATACCGATTCTTCGTTCATGACTGCAGTGGCACAATCAGAGACAGAAGAAGAGACTGAACCAACTATGTTTGAAGCAAATGGGGAATTTGAAAGTTTTTGCACTATTGAAGAGTAACCTACTTCAAGTATTGAAGAAGATAATACTATTAAAAGAACTCGTATTGCAGTAGTGAGAGAGCTCAAAGAAAAATTACAAATGATAAATTCCGCAAGAGGGGTAATTATTAATTAATATTTTTTAACATATATGTGATTCATTTATCTTTTTTAGATTACGAGTGAGGAACCACCTGGAAAAATATGAACGTGAGAAAGTACGCTATACCGAAGTTATAGACCACCAGCTGGAACATATGGATCTGCACGAACTTAATTTAAATTGTAGTAAATTTCGAGTATTCCAAGGTGCCAATTGTAAACCTTATATTCATTACTTTTTAACTTATATTTGTTATTAATCTAACGTTATATATTTTTTAAGTTATATATGTGTGTCTATGGTCACCTGTATCACGAAAATCTGAGACGAATGGTCGTTAGTTCGATTTGTAGCGGCTGTTAAACTATATAAAAAATAGATTTTTATCATATATATATTGTATATAGTATGTATACACATTTATACTAATTTAATGTATTAGATCTAGGATCTAGGAAAATCAAATTTACTTTACATAATACAAAATTAATAAAAATAGAACCTTTAGTTATTATTTTTTTCAATCTAATTTTATGTTACCTAAACAATCAATGACTTGATTTCTATAGAACTAGAACACTATTTAAAAAGAACCATGAGAGATTTAAGCTATCAATCAGAAATACATGGAACGAATTATATACAAGATATATTAAATAAAGAAACAATGGTAACATTTTTGATGGTATTTTTATTACCAAATTAGTCTTTGAATATCAGCAAAGTCATTCCATATAATTTCTTTAGTGAAAAATAAATAAAACGTTGCACAATTGACTAAGACGAATGTTAAAAGTTCAGCGATTAACTGAAGTTTGGTGATGTCTTTCATATACAACCTTAAAATTACGTAGGGTATCAAGAAGTATCTAATGTCGACTAAAGCTTGGAAGCACAAAACAACGAATGAAGAGAATGTAAAGAATATGGCAAATCTGACATCTTTTTCATTGTAGATCTTCTGAAATATTGTGTATAAACTAAAGTAAAAGATTGGGCTCCACAAGAAATGATACAAATCACAGTTGAAGAATCTCTTCCAGATATAAAACATGTAATGTCTGTTGTCTGCTAGTAGATAAGGATGAGTGGTGTGTGTATATAAATATAAGATGTAAATAATGAATATGGTAGAAATAAATTTAAAGAAACTATAAACATTTTTTAAGTTACTAGTAATGAAGGGAATGATATACTTAACGAAATGTGGCCAACCAAAAAATAAACTAAATATACTGAAGTAGTATAACTGAGGAATGTGAAGAGTTGCAACATGTGCAGATTTGTCTCCAACTACAATACCTCCATTAATTATCACAAAGGTAATGAAGCTAATTGCCAGTGTCAAAAAGCAACCTACCTCAATACATATATTCATTGGTAAATGTACGAATTTAGATATGATAATATCAGGGGTTTGGACATTCTGCCATAAGTTAAATATATCCTACAAATAAAATTGAATTAAAATAATACTGTACACATATGTTAATCACACAAACTCACTTTTTTGCTGATTTTGTAATCCTTATTTATAAATCTTCTATCATGGAACAAATAGTTGTACAACAAACCAGAAAGTCTCAAACCAGCGAAGAGAAACACAAATAAGACATTTGTCTGTCTCATTAAAATGGCAATTAAACCTTATATAAAAAAAATCAAGTTTTAAGTACCTGTCTTTAATTGTTAGTAAAACTATTACCTGTTAATGATGCATGTACATAATGTCCAGTATTGCAAAAATATATTAATCCAAGAATGCTGGTTACACTTGGTACATCAGTATAATATAGTTGCGAAAAGAATAGAAGTGGAGGAATCAATGCCAAATTGATAGCATTAAACAATGGAAATTTGCACTAAAATATATAACATTATTTTCTAATCTTGAAGTATGTCACAATACTTACTTTCGGATGTATCTGCTGCCTTATTACATAAAATAATATTAAATTGATAGCAGATGCTAAAATGTTAGTTATTCTTAAGCATGAGATTGTGCACTTTCCAATAAAGGTACATATCAATGTTGAGAAGATGTATAAACCAGGCAATGTTGTAATTTTTGGATCCCACTAAAATAAAATTGTTAGATCTGTTGTTATACAATTAATGTTATTTCAATACGTACTGTTCTTAAATCTCGATGACAATATGATAGACCTTGTGGCAAATGGAAGAGCTCATCAACAACAGACTTAGATGCTTTATAGAACTTTGTCGATAGAGCTATAGATAGCACTAAGTAACTGGACACAGTTATCAATATTCCTGGTTTATTTAAAATCATTATTATTGTCACATTAGACTTGGAGTCTGCTGGAGCTGGAGGTTTGAAGATAGTGAATATTTGTAGATTGAAACAATTAAGTTGCCTATATGCATTTTATTGATTAAATTTCCATGCAAAATACTAGTAGATATGAGAATGGTAGAAATTTTAGTTTTTCTAAGAAGAACAAGAAATACAATATGTATTGTTTAAGATAAAATATTTGATTGATTTTTGTAGTTGTATTTTAATGGTATTATAGGAGAATAACATATTTTATGGGAATTGTAAATTTGGTTGCATAAGTATCATGTTCATACTGGTATAATAAAAACCAAGAAACTCTTCTTCTATTTATAACTTAGAATTGTATATATCAGAGAGTCATCAACTAATTAAAGAACAGATATGTCCTACAATATGTTCACATTAAATTAGATTATATAAATGAAAGCTTAAACCTAAGTATAAGAAATTTAATGAACCATAAGATATTACTTCCATCAAATACAAAGAAAAACGCATGCAACATGGATGTAGATATTTTTAAATTTTCCTAATGTATAATTCCCTGCAATGTGGAAGTCTCTTTCGTCTTTGAAAAACTTGTTAATTATAAAATTAGATGTCACCACGAGTCCATATTTCATTACATTATCGATAATTTAATTGAATTATATTATATTTACATAAGCTAACATAAATGTGTATATTTTAACATAAGTATAAGTATAGAATGTAGAATGGAAATCAAATAAAAAAAATCCTTTTAGAATTACTTTGTCTATAAATGTATGATTTTATTTGAAGAAATTATATGAATCTTTACAGTTATTATATTTACATTATTTCATACAATTGTTGTGTTAGGGTAGAAACAGCTGATAATAAAAACCACTAATTAACGTCCATGAGAACAAAAATTCGAAATATAAAAAAAAAGTGTGCGACCCCTTCGAAAGTCTTATACCCAAAAATCAGTGTAAAAATGTAACGGTTATGAAAGGGGTATGTTGCGTGCATTTTTTTAAATGTGTACGATGCTTTTGTTGTTCCCTACATTCCGATACATTTTTAATGATAATAACTCTTTGTACGTCAGTTTTGAACGCGAAATCACGTACAAAGCGCCCCCGAGTATTCGTTACGCTCATTTCCTCCGGTTAGTTTTAACAATGTTTTAAACACCGGGTAAACGGAAGCCGCACAAAGCGGGTCACTCTTCCATGACTGCGGGGGTGCAATTTTCCTTTTCCATCCAGAGGCGGCCTCAGATGTCCGACCACTCAACCGCAAAACATTTGTGTCCACTGACACGCAAACACCTGTCCCACCATTCATTTCCCTAAATATGAAGGAGGTGGAGGAACTTAGTATATTCAGTCAATGTAAATAAATAATTAAATCTGGTCACCCCTCTATAACTTCATATCCTTCTCACTTGGAATCATGTAAACATAATTTGCATCTCTAGAAATCAGATGAAATGAATTATAATTCATCTTAATTTTACAACATCAAATAAAACAATTGTTGCTAATTTATGTCACTAATTTTGTCTTGACAAAAACTTAAAAAGCAAAATAAACAAATTACTTATTATTACTTATATTGAATAAAATGAAATAACTATAGGTTTTCCTGTGCAATTCCAGGTTTTGTATTATGTGTCCAATGAATTAGTAGTAGTTTCTGTAAGATCACTTTAGCAAAATTGCTTTAGTTCTGTTTATTAATGAAATGTTTGTTCTTTTTGGTTTTATCTCCAAATGGATGAAATTGAATGCTTCGGTGGTATGTTTTTTCATCCCTCGCCACCCTGGTGTCAGAGGTCTTCAATCCCCCCGGAATTCGGGCGTATCTTGTGTATCTTTTTATTTTTACTGTGTCTGATTTAATTTAGAGAATGGACTAGCAAGTGACGCCAAGGAGGCAAGCGAACGTGACGAGTACTTTATCAAAAAGCTTGTGGCGAAGGGCTAGGCCCTTCGATGGCCGGAACTGATGTGACATCGAGCGAGGAAAAGTAAAAAAAAAGAAGCATACAGGCTACAGATGGAAAGAAATGTGGACGGGAGGACGAGTTGGAAATAAATGGGGCTGCGGGCCTTCAAAGTTTAGAATTTTTGTTTATGTTTGCTTTAATGTAATTAGACGCCGTGCAAAATTCAAAGTGGCCGCACGGCGCACCGAACGCACACTTGTGCCTTATACCTAATACCTACTGCCTTCTGCCATAGCTTGTGCCAAACTCATCTCTCACTCTTACACTCGCCCAGACTCTGCCTCTATGTCGCTGCTGCCTGAATAAATATATGTACGACGACGGCGTTTTGATAACGATGTCATCTTATACCCTGGGGACCGATCCATCCCCGGCCCTTCCTCCCTCAGGAACCAAAACCCAAATCAATTACCGTATCCTGTAATTAGAATAAGGCTTGCGTACAGACAAACTCATATCTCTTTTTTTTGTGCTTTTCTGCACATTTTAATTAGATCCAAGAAAATATTTACATCGTATTCATATCGATTTGTAAAAACACACTTCTGTTACCTAATTTATCACTTAGTTTGATCTTCAAAAAAAGTTAATTGTAACGAATTTTAGCGCATTTATTTGTATTTCTTAAGTAATAATATAAAACATTGCCGTTGAATCATAAGAAATTGTTTCTTTCAATACAGAAATAAGTCACAAATTACAATATGACATTATAAATATTTTTCATGAATTACCAGATTATGATACTTTCATACACTAAGTATAATGCGTTGCATTCCCTTAATGTGTTGCAATGCTGTTTTGACACATCTAAGTTGAAGCATCCGTTGAGGCAACAACTTTCATATAAACCAGTTTATTACAAGTACTGCACATTGCGCTTTTATTGTATTTCAGACACGTATTTGAATTTTATTCTAATATGTAAACAAGTTTATCATTATGATTATCACATCACGATATTAATACAGGTTCTGCTTGAAGTGGATAACGATAAATTGATGATACATAAAGAAGAATATTTATAAAAAGGGGTTGTGAGATGGTTGCTTGGTTTAATTCCCGCGGTGGTTTTGTGCGGGTTTAAGTGTAAAGTGGTGGGTTTCGCATTTGGATGGGTTGATTGAAGGGGGTGGCACGGGCGGCAGGGTGCTTTCTGTATTATTCCCTTGTAACTCCTTAGTGATAATGGGTTGGTGTAGTGCCATCGCCGGGGAGTGGAGTCTCCGCTCCAGAGATTGTCTATTGTGTCTGTTTAAAATTGAATCCAGGCTCGCTTTAAAATCGACAAATCATTTCATCCCAGCCATTCCACACACCAAACAGCGAGCGCTCGTTATACGCACACCCGACAAGAGATGAAGAGATGAACAGGCGAAACGAAATTCCGTGTGCTGCAATTCAATGCCACCGCCGCCGCAGCCAACCCCCGCTTTCCACTCTGACGTTTTACTTTTATTTGTTTTTTTTTATATGTCTGTATCATATTTTATCCCCAAACACTTCATTTTATCCTCACTGATATTGCTAAGTATTGTAAATTTAGTTAAGTACATATCATTTGTTAGTATGTTTATATGCAAGTATAGAAATTATCTGCTTGGAAGTTATAACCTACACCTAAATCCCAATTTACACGGTAGATAGGTTCCTGAGTAAAACATGTAAATCAAAAAGTATGCAATAAACATATAGGATACATTATTTTTTTTTAAACCGTGTAAAAGTACAAATGAGTAAAGAAAGTACCGTGTAATACGAAGGATAGGTTATTTTCAACATTTATTTTTTTAAACCGTGTAAAAGCGAAAACATGGAAAAAAAGTATGAAACCGGTATTTTTAAAGTTCTCATATTGATTGACTATCCCCTGCTTCTATTTATATTTCTTAATCGTGCTATTTGAATTATTTAATTATTGATTCATTTCCAAAACTCATATTACTATGTGTTAACATTAAAATTCATGTCTTTTCTATATAATACCTGAAATTACGTTTAAGTTATAGAATATTTCTAGTATTTGATGCAATTCTTAGTTATTCTATACATTACCTATTTATTATATAAAGTATCTCTATTGTGTAATTAAAATATTTATATTTATTATTCTTATCTATTGAGATTTTACACAGACAACAATCACAAGAATTAAAGTAATAAATATTTTAATATAGCAATACTTTAAAATATTAATAATTGTTATATTTTAAACCTTAATAAGAACTTTATTCAAAACAATGTTTTATTATATTTTCAATAAAACTGATTTAGATTGATATTTTATAATTTTACTCATTACATTTATAATAAAAAAAGCTGATGAAATATGTACATTAATATTTTTTTGTTTCACTTGATTTTCAATTGTTCTATACTGTTAAATATTACACATGTTAGATATTAACATTAGTCCTTGGGATTTTGAGTTTTTTTTTATTATGATTTTATTATTGCCAGTAGTCAAATATAACAAAATAACATAAGAAAAATAAAAATAAATTGAATTGTTGTAAAGGGCTATTGACCATAAATTTTTCTGTCTGGGAAATAATAATGTAATGTACTAGTATTTGTTTTTTTTAAAATATGAATGGGAAATTAACTTCTGAAGATAGCGGTCAGCGTTTGTTTGTAATTTGAAGCATCCTAGAATGTTCATGTTAACAGTTGCATATTTATCGAATTGGGGATGTGAAGATGTGTCGGGATGGGTCGGTAGTAATTGGAAGTGCGCTGTAGATACGGTATGTGTAAGTGTAAGGGGTGGGCCTCGGCGAGGGATTAAAATCGGTAACTAACAAGCCGTTACAATTTAAAGCCTGTGATTAAGGGCCATTTCAGACTACGAATGTCGAACACGTTGTAGAGGCTTATAGTCTTAAATGATTTCCCAGCGTACCTATTAATTCAACCGACTGATTTATTCCTCATACACTCCGTGATATATTGGACTCTATAAATTATTTCAATTCATATTTGGGCTATGTATATATATATATACATGCATACATACACATATTCAGCTTGTATTATTTTAACATATCATATGGGTCCAGACGATTAATACGGATCGCCCCTTGATGTA